TCAGGAATGTATCATTAAAATTGTTATTGTGTTCTTTAAATGAAGTATGACATTATCACTTTTTATAACACGCAGGCTGTTAGCACGTTCAAAACAAGTGAAGCGACATCGAACGTAATGGAGGACTTTTTGATAAATTCAATATTATCGTATCGCATTACGAACGAAGAGAAAAAAACTAGCGCCCGGTTTCTGAAACGCTGATCATCGTAGAAGTTAACTAATCAGCTGTCAAATGGCTTTCCAAAAATGGTTAACACTTTGAATTGATTATTGCGATCATTAAGAAAATTATTCTGATCAATTCAGAGAGTTTACCCATCCTTTTGGCAACTCAAATGACATTTGAAAAGCCTTTTGACAGCTGATTAGTTAACATCTACGATGATCAGTGTTTCGGAAACTGGGCGTGAGAGTTCAATTTAAGTCTAGGTCGGTGTAAACAACACAGTAATTGAAAGCACAATAACAGTTAGTTGAACACGGTAACTAGGTATGTTTTGCATCCGTTTGGTGAATGCTAACGTATCGTACTCGTAAACTTCTCGATTTCTTTCCTGTCTTCATGTCGAGGTTTTCATTTTTTCAATTCCCCTGTCCCCTGACATTTTTGTCGGTCGAATCCGCCGACCAACCGAAAAATTTCATAGCACAGCGATTCCGGAGATATCCCGTTACTAAAGGGAGCGAATTTTCGTCGGAGAGCACGCGCGCCCCAGTCGCGTGCTAGCCGAACTTCAAAGGAGGGAGGTCCCCCCCCCCCCCCTTGTTAACAAACTTCCACCTATCTGCATTTTTATTTAAGTTTCGACGGAAACCTCCACCCCTTGATTCAATTTTTTTTTTCTCCCCGGAAAATTAATTAGTGGACACGTTTCGTTTCTGGCGGCGACGCAGCGCCGCGTTCGAGTTGGGGGCGGATTAGCGAGGTAAATATGTGGGGACCCCATTTCCGCGGGTGGGGTTCGGGAATGTTCGACGTCTCCGCAATTGGGTGGCACCGAGTGGTTACGCGCCACCGTGCTGGAGTACTCGATCCGCTTCCCACTGCAAAATATAACAGTAGCTTCGATGACTCAGTGGCGCAGTCGTCGAAGGTATTGGCTTCGGTTCCGGTTGTCGTGGGTTCGATTCCCACACGGGACAGCTAAGCGTGGCCCACAGATAGCCGTTTCGCAGCCGGGTGTTTGTCCGCGTGAAATTTATGTTTGTAAAACATTATGATACAGCATAATTTTATCCTAAAATAAGGGATATGTTTAAAAGAAAAATAAAGCAAAAAAAAATCTTGGCTCGGAAGTAAAACACGAGCTTGGCTTGCACGATTCCGTTTTATTCCGTATAAGTAACGATGGTGGAACGGTAGAAATAGTTGCTTAGAAAATAAAAAGATTGCGGCGTCTTCAGGCCGGCGGGGAGCGGAGTTTCGCGAGCGCTTGAATGTGAAGTCTGGCTTAAGTCCGGTCTGCGGTCGACTTTGCACGGATATTGCGCAGAAGTTTTTGCCTAACATCGCCCCCTAAAAAAACAGCCGCCGTACAACGTACGTCCGCTTTGAAAAACGCCCCATTCGAAGTTCTGACGCGCGCGAAGTAAATGCGAGTCCCTCCTCGTCTTTCGCTCACTCCCGTTTAAATGGAAAAGTATTTTCATTAGCCGTCGACTCGCTTGAATGGGTCTTCTGCGTGCGACTTTAATTATTATTAGTTTTTATTTAGAACGGGGTAAACGAACAGGCGGTTCGCATAGTGGAAAAAAAGCAGAGAGATCCAGATATTGAAGGCGCGTCGCCGACCACCGACAGTGCGGACCTCGGCCCGACTTTGTCGCTGAGAGAGAAGCTGAAGTCCACAGATTTCAATCACGGTGCTCTTTATGAATCAAGGGCACATTTTTATGAACGAAAAACAAAACCGTCTTCAAATATCTCGCTATGTATTCCTCGTATCTATATCAGGAGTTCCCCAAGTACCTCCGGAGCCCAAGATCCAATACCAATGAAATTAATATGGGAGCACATGGGGAGCATAAGCTTTAAAATAAAAAAAAATCATCAAAATTTGTTCACTCAGTCTAGAGTTCTGAGGTAACAAACATAAAAAAAATACATTCGAATTGAGAACATCCACCTTTTTTGAAGTCGGTCGATAAAAGTGGTCGGACTGGCCGGTCGAAGTATACAGTGGGAACTTTTATGCAAGTCGCTTTTGATTACAACTAAAACGGCGAACGGACAGATATTTTAATGGTCTTGACAAATTACTTATTAACCGATGTACATATTCGCCAACTGTTACAAAGCCACTCCGAAATAAACAACCGCATAGCTCACACGTTTTTGCCGAATCCGAAAAAAGGTGGCCGCTAAAAAAACTCGCCTCGAAAAAGTGACTTCCCAAAAGGCGCCATTGAAAATAGATGCACCGTGAGCGAGTTAAGTGGCAAACATCGGAAAAAATCGCCAAACAATGGGAATAAATCTATCGCGTTTAAAATTCCTTTCACACGTCGGATCGGGGGGCAAAAAAAAATTTGGCGCGTAAAAAACGTGCCCCCCGATTTCTGTGCTGCCAGCGCTAACTCTTATTCTTTTCGATTTAAAGACGAAATTCCGAAATGGCAACTTGGCAATGTACCTGTCGTGGTCGTGCGCAGCTATTGAACGATTTGTATTAATAGGCACGAGCTATCGATACAGCTCTATTAGCAAAGAATGACGAGACAGGTTGAACCATTTAAATAACAGTATCCGAAGATGTAAAAATATATAGAAGTAGTTATGAAATGTTTGTATAATTTTATTATTGTTGCGAATTATGCCCGTCCTCAAAAATATATTGACTAATGACTTCTCGCTCTAACATATTTTATTTAAATCTAAAAGTTTGATAAAGAAAATTAAATATCAGTTACAGTATCACACTCAAACCGATGTCCAATAATACCTCACATATACCGCTATTATTTTCATGCAACAATCGTTAAAACATGTAAAGTAATTTTATTAATATTCTTATTTATTAGTGCAATATCACATTTTGTTATTTCAAAACCGTTGAAAACATACATTCAGCACTTTACTCGATAGAGGAATACAGGGGGTATCGTGCTTAGTACTAAGAGCGAACAAAATAACCAGGAACAACTGTAGGTATACCTATTATTTAAAAAAATAAACTTGTTTTTTAAAAATCGGATTTCGAATCACGTCTTTTAAGTACGTATCACTAAACCAACATAAAGCACTACGCATAAAGTTCTACGACTAAGTGAAGAAATTCATCCCTTTTTCAAAATTCTAAATCGGCTCAAAAGCAATACGAAGCGAAGCGTTCCACGTCAACACGATGCAATTCGATTCCATTTTCAAAATTAGATTTCGAATTGAGGGACCGTGCGATCGCGTCAGCATCAATGGCCGCTATCGTTCGATGCAATCTTCGTGTCAATGACTCAAAACCCGCTAGCATAAGGGTCCTAGAGGTCCGAGAGTCCCGGTGCGTTACCCGCGACCGCTACGGCTTAACCTTGCTAACTGGTCCCGGCTAGCGGCATCCGCCGGTTCTACGAACTTGAACTCTACTGGTTTTATCCCGTACACTCGGCGAGATATACCATCTGGTGGTATTAAGGCATCGGACACAACGGAAACGTTGCCTCGTTATTTGAATATGCTCGTTTCTGTTGTAAGAATGTAACAGTATACGTTGTAACATACTGTTATATTCTTACAAGGCATGATACACTTGAGTTCAACTACCTCTTAGTTGTCTTGTTGACGCGTCCTAATTGAATTTAGATTTTATGTACTGATACAATTATTGGTATACGCATGATATATATTTTCTTCATTGTATTCATACAGTACAATTTATATGATACAGTAAATATTGTACATGAACGCCGTGTAGCCCTAAATAATGCGTAAAGTTTTTAATAAATGAAACGTCCAAATATATAAAAATATATAAAAATCTTAGACAACTGTGCGATCTGTGCGATTAGCGATGTTTGTATATTTGTTAAATACATAATTTTACAAATATTAAACTCCCACGTAATAAACTATTAACGAACCACTGTAACTCTACCCTTAGAAAACGACTTCTTAAAAGGATATATGATAATATGATTCAAGTATAAGGGAATCACAAAGTCAATATATTATCAAAAATATCAAATTTTGTATATCCTACTTCAGTCAACTCTGGTTTCGTTGTTTATTCCCCCCAAATGATCCACATTAATCAAGATTCGTCGAGTAGTTTTAAAGATCTAAGCATATATAGGGACAGACAGACAGCGGGACGACTTTGTTTTATACTATGTAGTGGTTCGCTGTGGAAAAAAATATGCGAATAAGCTATTACGGAATTAATACAGTCACGCGAATATATGCGCTGAGCCTAATCCAACGGCACAGATCTCGTGTACTTTGTTTCGCGCGGCGCACTGTACCTCGGTGCCGCGCTTTTTGTCCGACATAGGCACTCGTTTGGGGGGTTTCTTTCGAGATGAATGGAACGGGTTCCGGTTTGTTATCGAATGAGAAAGGAGCACTTTACCCGTTTCGCCGGCGTCTTTATGCCGTAGTAGTATTGACGGAACGTTAGCCGGGGCCCCGATTGCGATTCATCGCGGAACCCCAACGGAGTTTTGTTTTTCTTTTGGACAATCACATCGCAGCGTTCTGTCTATCCGCCTGATTTCATATTAAAATTTTAGTTTTTTTTTAATTATTGTAATAACATTATTCTCTCCTGACAGCATCGAGAGAAATTTGAATACTTTTAAACGTAATAAAAATACGGCGGACATTTTAAGCTTTTGCTTTTGTAAGTCGCGCCAGATAATTTGATTAACTAACCTTAAATTCATCAATTTGCGCAATTCATTCATTTATAAAACTAAACTGACTACTTTGAAGCGGTCGTTAGTCTACCATGCGTCTAAAGCACTCGACGCTTGTATTATTTTATGCCTTAGCATAAAATTGGACGATGCTACGACAGTTTGTACAGAGCCGGTTCAAAAGTAAAGTTAAAGCTTTATTCGTGCCGAATGTCATTTTGTCAAGTCGGTTACTGTTAACATGAATTTAAAATAAGCGTCGCTGCCCACGCAACGTGCTCACCAGGAGGTCTGCCGAGTTATGTACGGTCGGAAGGAAAACAGTTTTCTTTAAAATGATGAACGCGCTTCTATTGGCTTCGTCTGTATATTTATGTACCTAATAATGTATGTATATATATGTTACCCTACTAATGTGTGTATTTATATATTTACGCTCTTTGTATACATGTAAAAACGTTATTGGCAGGACCCACTTTTGATTCTTGCATAGGGCAATACGAAAATGATTAAATTATCATATACAAAGCAATCTTGAAATATGATTGTGGTCACATTCTTTTCATTTTGCTTTGATTGCAGTACTTAAATTATTCTAAAAGACTCGGCGTGATTTTTTTTTTTATAATAACAACTAATTAACCTGCCCTTTTATATCTATATGCACATTTATGGGCCATTGATCTATTAATTTTATGTATATCTATTACCATATTCGATCTTTCTGAAGGAAAATGATCTAAGCAACTTCGGCTTTATCATAAAAGTTTTGTCGACACTTAATTTAAACATAATATTATTTAGGGCTATCGAATACTATATGTCAACAGGCTCTTTTTGAACTATCATTTTATATGATGTTTAGAATATTTTTTGCCTTAATTAATAAATTTTTTGTGTTAGTCAAACTGGAGCCAAGACGGTGTGCGACAAAGTAGATCAATCTACTAAGCTTACACTAACACGTTAAAGAAGCCCGTTTGTAAGGCATCGTTGACTTAACTATACAAATATGTTAAACTAACAGTTAAAGGAATGCCGTGGGACCGTGAGCCAAGGAGCTGGCTTCGGGAACTTCCAAGTTGACTACGAGGGAGGTTTTATAGCTCGTTTTGATAAATATAAGTCTGCTTAACCCTCGCAAGTATTTAAGTCCCTCAGGATGGATTAATTCGCTCATTCTCTCTTCATCCATTATGAAGAATTAAGTGCATTCTTCAATTAAAATATTCTTTGCATTCCAGTCTCAATTTAGATTTGCAAAATCGGAGTTTCCATAATTAAGTATAAATACCATCGGTAAGGTGGAGGGTCTAAAAGATGTTTACCATGATATTGATATTATTATTAAAAATTTATACGATGAGTTTCAGCTAGGAGTGAACACCTGAATATGAAACATGTAAGCTACCGAGATAAATATATGTTGAAAATAAAGCTCTGTTAGCGTTAGTTTTTTTATATCAAAAAGAGACAATGTTTAACGAAAAGAGATTTAAGCAGAAATTTCAAGCCCCCTGCACTAGTTACTATTTTTACAGGATCTCAGGCAGTCTATATATCTAGTTGGTTTTTTGTTTTAGTTCATGGACAAGAAGATGAGCCATTTTATTATACATAAAATTATAGAGAACAACGAATTTTTATCTGAAATTATAAGCTCTCAGCTCAGCTTAAATAACTCGGCTTCTAAAATTACTGTTTTGATGACATTTGTCAACACTAATTTTAGAAGTTATTATTATTATATTTAATACACGGAGAGATATTGCTGGAACTTCGTAGAAAATTCCACATAACACATTTAATGATACGGACTTATATCAACTCAGACGTACCATCGCTAAATCAAGTACCCAACTTAATTAATAGCCATTATCAATTCCATCTGCGTAACGCAAAAAGAGACTTGTTAATGCACAAACTAGTTGGCTTACTGTCGGGACTACGTCATAATAAATTCCCATGGCGGCCGGCGGAACAATAATAATTCCACTTTATGAAGAAACGGAAAACAAAGAACGGGCGTGGCCTCTTTACGGTGTATAATTGCGCTTGTTGATTGGTTATGGCGTTATTGGTCGAAGCTGAGGCGAGGCGTTGCTACTTATAAAGCGTATTAATATGCGGTCGTTATTAAATGCGAGGTTTCCCGCCAAATTAACGCACGCGATGGAAAGCGAGGCGGGCTCTATGCGGTAGCGCGGTGCGTTATTGACTTTTTTTTTCGCTTTAATGTCGTTTTTAATTTTTGAGCGCCAGTTTCACTGTTTAAAAAAATTATAATGAGAGTATTTTAATATTCTGTGTTTAGTATTGGCTTACTCTCTTAAAAGTTGAACATATGACTTAGGAATGACATCCTTCAACATTTAAATATACAATCAAACAGGGTGTACAAAAACGACGAGATCGAGGTGAATTCTTTTCGTTCGATGAAAATCGAAATGAAAATTTCTCATTAAATATTTAAAAACTCTACATAGGGTATATCGCTGTAGAATGTGAACGAGGTCGTTATAAAACACAATCGCTCCAATGCCTATTCAATCTTTTATGTAAAAAAGTCCTCCCGTCGCGTCGCATAAAAAATCGGAGTACCCCATAATTCTAATCACGATACCATAAATAAGCACATAAGGACGTAGTATTGAACCGTCACTCCTATTAGTCCCCCATGGAAAAAATCGCATAAAAAGTTTAGGGTTCGAACCCCACCCTCGCCGTTTTTTGTTGATTCGTCACCCCACATTTTGGTATCTCGTTTGTATTATTGGTACATAATGGGGTATTGATTATCGCGGCTACCAATCGGTCTTTTATTTACATAAAGGTGCACATTGTTACATAAAACCTACTCGAGTAAATATTTATTCCGTTATAATGAGATTTTTATTTTTGATATTTCCCATGACCGTTACCGTCGGCAAGTAAACTCAACGTACGCTCTTACATTTTAGTAGAAATGGTAAATCATCAACTACTTATTGAAATATTATAAAATTGGAAACATTGTCACATCACACAATTTAATCAAAGGATATTAACAAATAAAATTAAAATTAAATTATTTTCATATAAAATGTTGGAAAGGTACGTTTAATAACATGACAAACACATATGTATCACAATTATTATTTTATTTTTGTAGCTCCCTATATTTCAAACAGTCTTTCTTGGGTTACAAAACATTGTTGCTATTTATAAAGAAGCGTTGAGGCAAATTTAAAACTACTACCGCGTTCGCTCCAGCCGGTGCGAGCGAATTAGAAATGAATAAATACCTGATGGCGGCATTTCTAGCGTCGCGCAAAAATCGACGTGAGCGCGGGGGCGCTCGCCAAGATGGCCGCCGTAACGCGCTCTTAGCACCCTATTTTTGCGCTCTCGCCGCCCCCGCTGCTCCCCTGTTTATGCATTTGGCCCCTATCGCCCCTCGCCCGCGAGTGCACCCGGTTTTTGTTTTAGCCCGCGCCGTCGGGAATTAAAAAAGAAATGAGTTCGACTCGCGAACCGTCGAAAACCGCGCGCTTTTTAATTGGACCGGCTTTGTTTCGCCACGGTAATGAGACGGACGGGGCATTATAACTAATTAGATCTTAGTTCGAGAATGTTTATTTGCAGTTTGAATTGAAAAGTTAACGGGTTCAATGACGAATTAAATTGGCTTTGACGTCCGTCATTATTATTCTTATCATTATAGTTTAACGTCTTCGGATTTCTCCATACAGACTTTTATTTTACGACATGACATTTATTTTTATGGCACTAACTCAAAACTTAAATGTTAAGTACATATAAATAGATTTCCAATCTAAAATTTTATTTTTAATAAAAGGAATAAAATCTGAAACTATAACATTCATTATGAATTTGCATATACGTGTATGCAAATCCTTAACCGTTACACATAAAACGTAATTATTACATTGTTACTAGTATAAATTTTGTAATAATTAATACTATTGATTATTAACATTTGCTTAACAAAGGTAATTTTTTTATAAGAAAACAATTATACACACCTAAATTTATAATTTTTCTTAAGTAATACATACTTACTTAATAGTTAGTATAGGCTTACTATGAATCATTGAGAGATGTCACACAATGAACAAAATTATTTTCATTAATATTAAGGTAGTGGAACCCTACGGGTGTTGCAAATGTCCATGGGCATTACTACACGGTTATCACTTAACATCATGTGAACCGCCAGGTTGCTTGCCATCTTCTCACATAAAAAACAACGTGTTAATAAGAAAATTATAATATTCATTATACAAATATGTTGGCAAAACTATAAATGTCTTTTTTATTTGTTCTGCTATTTAATTTTGTTTTTTCTCTTTTAAATCTAGCAGCCATACCCACTTCAAGCCAAGATTTTCTTGAAGAAGACTTGCAGAGCCCTTTATTACCTATTCATGATTTATCGAATCAATTATCCTTATATTTTGACTATGCAAGGTGGGCCATTGGATATTATAATAAAAAAGAAACAATATTTACCCATAACTGAATATATCTTTAGAAAAACATTCCTACTATATTACAAAACAATTATGCAGATTACACTTAAAGAGATTAAAGTGACTTGAAATTTACGATTCGTTTAAAGGTGTTTGTTATCAGTTTACCGTGAATGGACAGGACCTATTTTAGTGCTATGAATATTCACGCGTATATCCTAATCGTTAATAAAGAGTGTGTTATTAACTCCACCTGCAATGTACAGACATAAATCAATAATAGCAGTTATTCTTACAAGAACAACCAACTTGCATTTTCAAACAAAATTTTGCTTGAATGTTATTTAAATCTAGGAACTCCACTTTAATTAATTCAATCTCGATTCGTGCCGATTCAATTTCAAATAACTTTTGAAATTTGAAATTACTTTATATAGCTAATATGAATAACAGTCATAACATCATAAAAATAATGATAATTAACTGCTGAATAAAAAAGTGATTATTAAATCAGAATTAATATAAAATCAGATTATTTACTATTTACCGTCAAAAGGTACACTGCTCATAAAAGCATTTCAATTAAAAAAAAATCAAATACTTACCTATTAATAAATGATAAAAATAATATAATAATATCACTAATATCGATAGCACTTCCAAGTATATTTCCAGCGTCTTTTCAATTGAAATGTACAAGTTTTATAACTATTCTAAATCTACACTAATCAAGAGTTGTATTGAGACTAGGATTCTCTGCAAAAATGGCTAAGAATGAACGTTTCATTTCAAAAATGGAAAACCACATCGTTTACTACGTATTTATCCCGTTCAAAGAATTCCTACAGCTCTATTATCGACGACAGAATTCTCGCGAAACTATTTAAGTGAGACGCGAGAATAGTTCAACGAATTGGAAATTGAAACGTTGTAAGCCTTTTTAGTACCAATCCTGGCAACGTGTTATTGTTATTGTTAACATGTTATTTAATTTACTGATAATACTAAAACTAATACAGCTTTAGTTTATCCTAAAAAAGCGATTCGAAGTATAGAATTAAAGGAAAAGAAATTAATAAAGGTAAATTAAGAGTTATTCCGTTTAATATTTTCATGAATCTAATCAGAGAATATAGAAAAAAAGTTTAAATTTTATTTTCATTTATTCACTACCGGCATTCTTTATTGGAAACCTAACAGGATCTTTGCATAAAGCGTTTGGGATGTTTTTATTCTGTGCTTAGCGAGGACTATAAGTATTGTAAATTGTTATTCCACAGTAGTAGTAGCATAGATGAGTCTATGTATGACCAAAGAGAAATGCGGTTGTGAAGAAAAAAATTATATCCGATATCAGGAGTTGGGCCGGCGGGCGATCCTCCATCGCTGGATCGGTGTGAAGCGTTTCTTTTGATTTTCATTGCGCAGTCACAGTGCTCGATGATCAACTAGATCCAGAACTTGCCCTACGGAGTACGGCGAGAAGAGATCTTGTCTATGGTACGTGGATGCCATAGACAAAACCTCGTGATATAAATGTGCAGTGTATTTATGTCAGTGTGCTATGAGGGTATAATACAATCTGTGTCTAAATTATACAAAAACTTCGAAAATTGTTCAGTAAATAAATAAAAAAAAATAAAAAATATTTTGAATTTATTGTCTATGAAATGATTCCACTTCTCATCCGGTGTACAATACACAATATTTTACAATATATTCCTAAATATTTTTAATCAGTACTATTATTTCGTTTTGTGGTGGTGATATTGTTAATATTTGAAATTGTGTTGATTATCATTTTCGTATCAGTACATAAGTAGTTCACCTTGCACAGGCACATAAGAATAACTATTATTGAACTACTTGTTGCAATAAAAATTCACTTCAAGTTGTATATTTTTAACTACATTTATATATACGTTAACAAAATAAATATTGTACGTATTTATATTACTAATGACGGTAGCATATTTATACACCGTTATTTGAATTTTACATGCTTCAAAGTGATTTTGAGATACTGTGTATGTATTATATTACCTACTAATTTATTTCATTGTAATTTTTATATTAAACTGGTATAAAGGTTGTTTCACAACCATAAAATGTTTACGTCTTTAGCTGCTTTAATGTGCGAGTGATTTTGATGTTTCAACGCGTTTAGCAACTTGGGCGAGCGACTCGCTCGATCTGAACGCGGCATATTTCCTCCAAGGCGCATGTAGGGGCACGTCACCCCCTCAGGGGGCGGCTACCGAGGGGAAGACACACCCCGCGATATCGGCCCGCAGTGTTGCGTGATATTTAAAAAATAGGGTTCTGTCTGTTCGATGAGACGAGTGAATTAATTTTTGCGTTGCGTTTTGTATCATCGATGTTTTAACGAAAACTAAGGCTCAATTCGTTTATCTTTTAGATTAGCAATGTTTATGGTAATTATTTTAATCATAACCGCTTGTATCATTTAAATGATTAAATTTGGTGTCGATGCAGTTATTTATGGATATATTGAAGACTTCAAGCAAGAAAGTTTTATATTTTTAAGGGAACAAATCCACGCAGCAACTTGCACGCGCGCAGCGCTGTTGCACGAATAGAAAAATATTATACCAATATAATATTTTTCTAAGGAAATAAACCCATGCTAGACCTTTTGCTGTTACACGGACTTTTACACGGGCAGCTTTGTCCGGAAAATACCATGGCCTCAGAGAACACTGGCGTAAATTAGAACTAATTCTATTTTACAATTGTTACCAACTCTTTTATAACTTGGATACTATATTTACAAATCCAAAGAAAAAACGATATCGAATTTCATACAACAATTTGTATATATAAATTTGGAACTAAATTAATTATTGTTATTGTTATTGTTATTAGTTGTAGTAGGTTAATATCGTGTGAATGAAACTGATTAATCTTCGCTATCGCTGAGACTGACAGCGTTCGCTACCAGCGGCTCGTGGTCGACGGGACAGGCGGGGCCGCGGGCGAAGCTTATACCGCTCCTCGGGTCTTTGACAGCGGGGGCGACCCCCGCCCCTGCGGCAGTTCTTTCTCTTATTTCCCGGCTTTTTTCGGTGGCCATTTTTAGCGCGCACGCGCCCTGCCACGCTTCGGCCCTATACGTCGAAGCGCATCGATTTATCCTGCTGTAAATAAAGCGGAGGGTCGTGGGTGGGATGTCTTAGCGTGGTCCGGTGAGTGCCGACTCGCGGAAGAACGAGATTTTCGCCAACGCTCCCATACCCGATATTCTACGGTTCAGGAATTGGATAGGATTGGAGTTTCCACTCTTGCTATGCGACAGCTGACATGCTTACGACTCTTACGAGCCGAACAACTCGATTCAAAATATATTTTTCGATGGCATATACACGTTTGCAGTGACTTGTTACAAAACACAGTATAAGTAATTTATGATGACCACTGTAAAAGCTAATTTCTATCCAAATTTCATTCATTCGATGTGGAATGCCAGCAAAGATGAAAACTTTTTTTTAGTGTATATTAGTACTACAATTTCTGTAATTTTGTACAATGTACTTATATAACGAACGGACGCCGCGACCTAATTAAAATCAAAATCAAATTCATCGTAATAAGAAACAAATTTCATCGATCGATAGAGATTTTTTTAAATCTACCACCGTTTCGTAATGAGGTTCCTCTAACGAAGAAGAAACAGGTGGAAGAAGCGGTAGGTGTCCTCTGTTTTGTCATTTATTGGTGTATTCTCCTTTCGACAGACTTTAGCAAGAGAGCTTCAGGTCATAATTATTATATGTACTCAAATTCTATGTACTATTCATTCCCAACTCAAGAATGTTTATTTCCTATCTGTCATCAGTTCTTCGAGCTATGTGGCCTGCCCATTGACAAACCAGCTTGCAAATCCGGAGAGCTATGTCAGCGAATCTGGTACTTCTTTTAGGTAATCTAAGGATTTTATCAGCTCGTTGTGGCTCTGAGCGTTGGAGCATTGGAAGGCAACTCCGTGGACCGTTGACATCACGAGAGTCAACGGTCATCGGGCAACCGATGGATGCAAATGGTAAAGAAAAATATGTCGTTCGCTGTGGCGTTCTAAGGTCCTGATGATGACGATATTCTTTCTTGTGAAGTGATGGTTCATATCATAACTAAAAGTGCCACATACCGGTTAGATCAAAACATACAAATATACCGGGCGAGTGATACACTTCCAGAACAATCATCTATACATACTACACATAAATAAAATTTGAGTGTCTGTTTGTTATATTAAAATAACCGCTTTTTACTATGGATGTACACGAGCTCCAGCTCCAGCTGTGCCCGAGACTTCGTCCGCGTGGAATTTAAAATTAAAAAAAATCTAAAATAAAAGTAGCCTAAGTTACTCCTTATTACATCAGCTATCTGCCAGTGAAAGTCCCGTTCAAATCGGTCCAGCCGTTTCAGAGATTAGCCGGAACAAATAGACAGACAGACACACAAATTTTTGTAAAAAAAATACTTTGGTATATGTACCGTGTATACATCCATATGCATTTAGTAAAAAGCGTTTATTTTAATATTACAAACAGACACTCCAATTTATTTATCTGTATAGATACTTTTGTGTATGTAGTTACATATTTCAAATAAAGAAAAAAATGATCACAGGGTTTCTTGCCGATTCTTGTCTGGACAGGTCTAGTTAAGTGAACCGGTGGTAGTTTTGAAGTTCAATAAGAGCTTAAAATAAGCTTTTGTTGAGAAAATTTTGACTTTTGAGTCCTACAGCTTACGGACCCAACAAGTAATTTGCAGCGGAACTTTGCGGTTCCTAACACGATGATTGGATCAAAAGTGACTGTCCGAAATATTGCTTCTAATGGAATCATAATTTTATTCATAATTAAAAAATTTACTACTGCCCGACTCGCGTGCCTTGTGTTGCTTTAATTTCTTACCATCCAATCGAAACATTCGATAGTATGGTAATATTCCAGACGCCATATTGATACGGGAGATATTTGAGAAGTGCCCAAATTTACACAGAAGGTTCAGACCGGGTAGTAAAATCGTTTATTATATTTCAATAAACGATAATGTATAATAGAAAAAAAAGTTTATTTTTTCAAAAAAAATGCCATTATGTTCCCTAAAAAAACAGAACGTGTTGACAATGCGGTAGTTTATTCATAAATACTTAAATTTTACTGTGCACGAACTTGTGTGCGTGTTAGTTATAAATGATCGCGCGTAAAATTAATGAGTTGCATATAAATCACGCACTTTTTGAGATAAGTTCAAATGAATGTAATTAATTACTTACGAGTGATTTTGAATATTTATCATTTTTATATTACATTATTTATGTCTAGAATCTAATAAAAAAAAATGGATATACTTAGAAAAGCCACCCTGTATACATACAGTCATACGATGCTTAATGCCGATGCGTTCCATGTAAGTAAGTATAAGCAAAATGCAATAAGCAAATTTGCCTTTAAATTTGTTACTGTCTTACGAAACTATGATATTGTTTAGACCACTCAACTCAACCTTTTGACAAAAGACGGTTGGCATAATTTTTCCCTTATTGTGTCAAACTTTACTTAGCTTTGCTGTATGGTGAAAACGGAACTCAGCATGCTGTTGTAAATAATTCTTACTTAGTGACTTACAAGGTGAAAAGAAGATGGAGGGTGCTATCGAAGATTAAAAAATGCCAAAGTCTGCCTTCCTTACTTTTGTTACTATGTTCCATTTTAGTATGAATTTATTTTAAATAGTATAGTAAATGTTTATTTAACAATTAAAACGTAAGTAAATATTTATTCGCCTCATCAAAAAATCATCGCTAGACGTTATGAGCGCGTAACGAATTTAGCATACACGGATTATGTGATGTATTCAAGCAGCCTAAACGAGTTACCCTCGCACGTTGCAGAGTAATTCGATAAATCGCCAGAGAAAACGAAGTCTCCGACGCTGCGGTCCATAATGAATCTAATGATCGGATCGTCTGAGCCTTTGCCAAATTCATATTTTCAATTTTCAATCGATGTTCAGCTACTCTATGTATTGCCGTTATAATACCATTTTAAGTAGTAGTTTCTTTAAACTTACAGTGGTAGGGCCACGCCAAAAGCTTCGGCTGTTGCACGAATGGGCAGGTCCGTCCGGGTAAGTACCACGACCTCACTGAACACCGGCGTAAAGTAGAAGTGTTACACGTCTGCATTTGGTCTGGTGAGTGAGGTAGCCTGGGCCCACTTTATTATAAGATAGCAACGCATCTGCAACCCTACCTGCGGGTGTTGGAAATGTCAATGGGCGGAGGTTATCACTTAACATCTTGCCACCTTGTCACATAAAAAACATAAAAAACTGTCAATTATAATTAACAATAATACATAAAAACAATTATATATTGAACTGTGTTTTGATTTTGAGCATGACCATGAACGCGGTAACATGTGCTCAGCGAAATTCAAATGCATACTATCCGTGTAAATACAAGTGATTATTATGTCAACAGTTACACAATAAGAGTTAACTATGAATATTAAAAAGCTGAAGACACAATATATATCAAAGCATTCTAAATAGTCGATACACAACATATAATATACCAATCCATATTATGGTAAAGCATCTTAAGTAGTAGTAAAACTTACTAACTAAGCAGTCTAGAACAGAATCGAAGTACACAATAGCTTCCGCGTCATTTCTGATAAGCGTAACGAAACTTGGGCACATGAGCGCGGCAAAAACCCCGTACAGGCAGCGGCAATGACAAAAGATGTCTCTACTGACAAGATCCTCTCAAACATTTATGACATGTAAAAAAGCCTCGCCCCCGCTGCACGGCGACCTCGCAATGTGCCAAAAGGAAAAATTGGGCGCAACAGCGCCCACCTCACTGAAGATCCCTTGTGTACCTACGTCCCTCCTTATTAACGAGATTGCGCACCGCGAACCAACCGTCTTGATACTTGGTGCAGTTCTCAAATTTTCCACCACTAGCTGCCTCGGCAAACGTTGTTTTGCCATATAAATTATTTCTAGGGAATTTGTCAATCAATCAAACTCATCTGTCATCTGAATAGAAAGAGAATTTTTTGGACACACGCATAAAGTGTTCGACAGGTTACCCAGATATAGTCGATTCATTTCTCTTTCGATTCTATTTCGATTTTCATGCAATTTTTCCATAATTTCTCATCGTATAAACCTTCCCTGGACTGCCACAAATATGTCAACACCAAAATTAGCCAAATCGGTCCAGCCGTTCTCGAGTTGTGGCGAGACTAACGAACAGC